TTCATATGTGGCATTGACAAATATACCTAATCACCAGAAGGATTTGAGTGTAATGTTCAAGCTCAAATCTCGGTGCATTGGGTTTCACTGTAAGTTAAGTCATTGCGGGAATTTCACTGTTTGATTTAATCAAGAAAGTTGTGAACCACATCCTAGTGTATCCTCGTGTTTAGTGTTTTAATCGATTTGTGGATTAAGGTCAAGTGCTTAGTTTCATCATTTATTTGAAAATTAGGTAGATGGACTCTCACCTAGGGAGTGTTCCTAAAGTCTAGGAAGTCTATGCTTCTAACTTGAGCTTGCAGTGATTTAAAGTGTTTTATCCTAAATTAAGTTTTTTCCAACTAATTCTCAAATATCTTTAAGTGTCTTCCAAATGATTAAATCAGAAATTCTCATTTTTTTTGACTTAACCATGTGGCGAGAGAAATGAAACAAAAAAAAGGAGAAGGTCGACCCACTTCCAAAACTAACAAAGCCAGGGGGGAACAACAAGTGAATCGGTATCAAAGCGTTTAAATAACAATATATTGAAACCCAAAACGGTGGGCAAAAGGGGTCCCTAAATCAAACTCTAAACCGCATGAAATCAACACTTAAAGACTACATAAACCTCGCCAAAACAGTGCATAGAACAACCCCAAAATAGTTTTTTTAATGCCTCCAAAATAGTGCATAGATTGCCTCAAAATTAGTCCACCAAAATGCCTTAAAACAGTGCATAGATTGACTCAAAATCATCCCACCAAAATGCCCCAAAATAGTGATTAAAACAGCCCCCCAAATGATGGGTTTAATGTCTCCAAAACAGTAGACAAAACTCTCAAAATCAGCCCCAAAACAGTACACAAATCTCTCAAAATCAGCCCCAAAATAGTAGACAATGCTATCAAAATCAGCCCCAAAACCGTAGGCAAAGCTCTCAAAATTAGTCCCAAAACAATGATTAGAACAACCCCTCAAATGATGGGTTTAATGTCTCCAAAACAGTAGACCAAGCTGTCAAAATCAGTCCCAAAACAGTAGACAAAGCTTTCAAAATACAGTGATTAGAAAAGACCCCAAAATGATGGGTTTAATGCCTCCAAAACAGTAGATAAAACTATGAAAATCAGCCCCAAAACCGTAGGCAAAGCTCTCAAAATTATCCCCAAAACAATGATTAGAACAACCCCCCAAATGATTGGTTTAATGCTTCCAAAACAGTAGATAAAACTATCAAAATCAGCCCAAAAACAGTAGGTAAAGCTTTCAAAATCAGCCCAAAAACAATGATTAGAAAAACCCCCCAAATGATGGGTTCAATGCCTCCAAAACAGTAAACAAAGCTATCAAAATCAGCTCCAAAACAGTAGACAAAACTATCAAAATGAACTCCAAAACAGTAGACAAAGCTTTCAAAATCCGCCCCAAATAATGATTAGAACAATCTCTCAAATGATGGGTTTAATGCCTCCAAAATGGTAGACAAAGCTATCAAAATCAGCCCCAAAACAGTAGACAAAGCTCTCAAAATCAACCCCAAAACAGTGCCCAAATCATTTTCAAAACAGTGTTTAAAACAACGCCGAAACGGTGCCAAATTTTTTTCTAAAATAGCGTATAAATCCTAAGTATGAAAAAATACCCTTCACATTAAGGAATGGAAGCACCTCTTATGTAGAATTAAAGATCTGAGTGGTGTAGTTGTAAAGTTTAGGTTCCACATATGTAGAGAATATAAGCATTGTATGGTATGCACGTAAAAATTGAAGCCAAGGTGTTAGATATGCAAGCACATGGCAATTGAGTGTCGTGCATATAATAAAAAGTAAACGTTAGACATTAGACATATAGATGTATAAAGACCGAGTAGCATGCATACAAATCTTCCTGAACCAAGTTGGCATACACCTTCTTTATCAGGTTTAAGAAAGTTTAAGTAAAACCTTGCTCACATAGCTCTTTCCAATTTCTCTCATTAAGCAAGTTAGCTTCTGAATTGGTTATCTTATAGATAAGAAAAGAGTCCGATGACAATCACCTTTAAAAAAAATAACATCGTTAAGCGAGTCCTGCATCAAAACATGAACCAAGTCTCTGAACGAAATTTGCTACACTAAGCCAAGAGGATGATGGAAGGCGCGACCCTCGTCTCTGAACTATATTGAGCTAGTTGAGCTAGCTTAATCATTCACAAAAAAAAAAAATTGAAGCTTGATGCTAACAAAACAATTACTGAAGATGAAATGTTTCATGTTTCACGATCCTCATCAATAACGATATATAGATAACCCCCTAAGGGCAAGAGATTGATTCTTCCTTCGCAATCAGAACCTTTAAAAACTAATTGGGTGAGTTTTGAGAATTTACCTGCACTAGAAGCCCCTATTTTCCTCATCAGTGGGGGGTGCTACAGCTTAAGTTGTTCAATAGCACAAACCACATGAATGCATCAGAAGATGGGGGATGGTAACTCAAGTGTACAATTCCAAGGGCGGTCAAACTGATCCAATGTCCATCCTAAAGTAATCAAAGGCACCTGAGCGGAGACACCCTAGCTTTACCCTTTTTGTAGTATAGCAAAAGCACGACCAGAAAAGAGAAAGCGGGCTGGTAGAAGAGGAAGGCCGTTTCGATGGAGATAGAAATGCAGCCGGGAGAAGGGGGAGTTGAGCGGTTAGGGTTGTTCGGCGAGGAAGGAGGTAGCGAGGAAGGAGGTAGCGAGTGAGGAAGAGTGAGTCGAGCGAGAGAGAGTTTCGGTCGAATCAGGGAGAGTCGAGCCGTACATGAGGGAACTTCGATGCAGAGAAGGGGAGGCAAGCCGTCGGTAGAGGCGAGAGAGGGGAGCAGGCGAGGGCTTCGAACTGGAGGAGAATGCGTCGAACGAGAGAGGGAGTTGGGTTTCAAACTTAGGAGAGGGCGAAGCAGGCGCGTGTGGGAGAGCTTCTGGGCGAGGCAGAGATGGGGAGTGGGAGTGAGTGATAGAGGCGAAGCAGGCAAGGGTCTTCGGGCGCAGGGAAGAGGAGACGAGGCAAGTAAGAATCATCCGGAGTGACGGGAAGAAGGATTTTTGTATCGCGCCAATTCTCAGAAAGACGTTACGCGGGGAATTAAATGAATTCCATTATTGCAACCGACTCAGTTGGAAAATCTCAACTCCTAATTACATTCAATTAAGAATAATTAAATAGCTTATTTGAAATTCAAAATTGTTTAACCCTTGTTCAGCCCAAGTCCAACCCAAATTGAACCCGAGTTGAACCTGGGTTGAGCCTGGCCTCGCGCCCCGCTAAATAAAATAAAGGTGCATCAATTTTTGTGTTATCTGCTTGTGCGCGGAACCATAATGATGTGGGTGTTCTTTCTAGCTAAAGTCGATGTCCTAGACGCATCCGTGTAGTCCGTTTCGTCATGCGAGGTTGTCCGGACAATTTCGCTGACGGTCAGTTCAATTTAAGTCAACATCGAGCGTGGTGCAGTGAGCGCGTGAATTGCAGGGTTTGCGAGTGTTCGAGTCATGGAGGGTTCACCTATGGTTGTTTGATCCTGTAGGAACTCATTTTCGGGCTCTCTACATGTTAGTGCTTAGCCCTTGCAACTAAGAGTTGAGTTTTTGGGACTACTCATGCGAGGTTTGCACAAAAATGAGTCAATAAGTGGTTCTAATTTCTATGCGAAGTGGGTTCAATTACTAGTCCGCTAGGATGGTCAATAAGGAACTTCTAAAGCTAGATCTTGGGTTCTAAGAGTAGGAGACTAAGACCTCATTAAAAATGAGGTCAACAACAACTTTCATATCGTATTTGTTTTTCATGATATGGGGAGACTAAGACCTCACTGAAAATGAGGTCAACAACAACTTTCATGTCGTATTTGTTTTTCATGATATGCCGAGGAGATACTATCTGTCTCGGCGGACACATAATTTCCACTAGAGAGAAATTGTCAGTCACCGACCCAAGATTTCCTCCCAATAGAAGAACAGTTTGCCACCGACACAGGATTTACTATTGGTCCCTAGACGACAGAAGATTTCCACTAGAGAGAGAAAATCAAGATTTAATTTCAACTGACTGGCCCTAGCAAGGAATGACTCGCGAGGGAATCGTGCATGCAGGGAAGGCCTCTAGGAGTTTTGTTTCGGTAGAGAAGGTAGATCAAGGAGAAGTATTGCCGCAATCAAGGAGAATGGTTGTCGCGCGAAGGAGGTTGTTGTTACTGCATGTAGTAGCGGCAAAGAGAGGGCCAATAGAGGAAAGAAGAGGCTGGCGGCAGCAACAGAGGCCTGCTGGCTGGTCGAAGGAACTTTTGGCTGCTGTAGGGAAGATTAAGGTTGTTTGAGAGGCTCCGAAAAGAAGAGCTAGGATTTGTTTTTTTGCTCTGATACCATATTGAAATTTAGAAGGAACATTATTAGAAGAAAAAATACTAATTTTCTTCTTAAGCAAATATCAAATATATATACAACTGAAACTAACACATATAATTAGAGGGAATTTCAAATCACAGTGATGAAAAAGAAGGAGATAAAAATACAATAATGAATAATTAGGGGAGAATATTTCTCTCGCTCAAATGTAAGAGAACCATAGTTTCCTAAACCATTGGTGGGTCTTTGTGGTCCTCGGTTATATGCATATCAACAGGTCAATGTGTCAAGGTTGTAAAAAGGGTCATTTACATACATACCGCCCAATTCATATGTATTTACATATCTAACACCAAAAATTTTCCTTTTACATGTGTACCACTGATGTCTTTCATATCACATAAAAAATGCCACGATTTTAACTTTTAAAATTTAAAATACACATTTTCATGCATAGGTAAGGTGTTATGTATGTAAAAATTGAAGTTTTGGTGTTAGCTATGTAAATACATAGTAATTGAGTGGTATGTATGTAAGTCTTCTTTGTAAAAAAATGTGCTCTCAGTTCTTATTCATATGTATTATTTTGGAGTTCTAGACACCACAATTTAGGGTGATGATGTTTAACTTATTAGACTGAACTTTTCAGGTTGATTGAGCAATGCTGGAGTTATAACGCTGCGAATAGGCCAACATTCAGGGAAATTATTTCTCGGCTATCGTCCATCCAGAAACATACTGCACAAAGAGCAAGTTGGCAGGTATATTTCTAGATCTCTACGTCCTGTTATTATATTGAGGAAAAAAAAGAATTTTCTCTTAAAGATTCATAAATTCATCTAGCTAATTGTATTGCCTGATCCAAGCTCCTGACTGTTTGCTAGAACTTGATGGCTTTATGTCGGCCTCTATATTGCTCAAGTCTGCAATAAACCAATAGGAGAAAATTACTGTTAGATAGAATTTTATATATATTGGTTTTATTTCGTTATAAGTTCAATAATCAATATCATTTATATTGCTCTCTTTTCGAAGTAAATTCTATTATTGGTCTTTATTTTTCTCAAAGTAGATATTACTTTGAATGTATGAATCAATTATCACCACCGAATCTGCAATATATACTCACAAGATAAACTGCGGTCTTTGAAAAATTCAGAATGAGATTTTTGGGCTCGTCATAAAGATAAAATATTTCAAAATCTTTGAATAATTTCATGATGTAGATAGTGTTCATCTACGATGCAAGACCTTGAGATTCCTGCAAGCGTTCTAAGATTCGTTCAAGAAGTTGTGTTAGTACTTTCAAGTTATGTACATGCATTTTAACAGGATATAAGTGCAATCAATAAAGTTTCAATGATTTCAAGCCTATACTTGCATTTCAAAGCATTTTCCAGCGTTGATTCATTGTCTTAAGATGTGTGTTAGTATTTTTAAACATGTATTGCATCTTGTGAATGCATTAAACACCATGTTATACTCTGAAGAACATAATATGTTATGTAATTGCGTCATGTATGTGTGTTTAAGATTCATGCAAAATAAATAGTATGGTACGCTGAAATTTTCCACAATCTCAAAATTATTGAAGACTGATAGTTTAAACTGAACAGGCTGAGAATGCTACGCATATTTGAATGAAAATTTCAATCAAATTGCTCTCATTCTAAAAAAATGTGCAAATTTTCTTTTTGAAAAGTCTGCCCATGTTTTAAAATTATGAAGTCTCTCTTTTAAAGTCAAGCTTAAAATAATTTAGTTATATATATACTCTAGAGCGGGCTGCCTTGTCTATATAATAGGATTATAAGTCTTACCTAGTCAGTTTGATCCTCGTCTCTAATTTGCTGGCGATAGCCAGTGATGGACGGCTGTAACACAGCTATTTTATTATTATAACAGTGATTAAAATATTATCTATTGTTAAATTAAAAAAGTCCTCTTCTTATTATTATTATTAGTTTCTCGAGATGGTGAGCATTCATATTTTTATTAAGAACCTTCTCTTTCTGTTCAGCTAAATAAAACTCGTGCTCCTTCTCATGTTATTATTATTATTATATTTTTTCTTTTCACTTATTATTGATAATAGGGGTGTAAACGAGTCGAACACAAGCAAGCCCAGGCTCAGCCTGTTTTCGACTCGTTTATATTTTGAGCTCAGCAAACGAGCCGAAAGCGAGCTATTCACGAACAAAGAATCGTTTTGACAACCCTAATCACGTAACCATAAGATGTTAAAGAGTTGTGGCAACATTTAAAAATTATTATTTATATTAAAACATCATTTGAATGTAATTTAATAATTTTTATTTTATTTTCTTAATCAATATTTTAATTGATTATAAATCTTTGTAGCCTTGTAGTCAATTAGATTTTTTTAAAATACTACTTAATATATATAGATTTAAACTAATTGTGAGAACTTGATGAGTAGTATTTCGAGCCAAAACGAGCCGAACACGAACGAACACATTTTAGCTCGTGTTCGGCTTGTTAACTTATTGAAAAAAA